TGATTATAACATAAAAGATTTAAATCATATTAGTCTACAAGGAAAATAATATCAGAAAGTCGACTAATTTTCCTAGTGAGCGGAAGATGATTCATTTGTAGTTCAAAAGGTATATCGTTTGGATTTAAAGGAAAATAAAAGTATAGACTGTAGAAGCAAATATGATATGGATTTGGTTCTTTCCTAGCTTCATGGATCAATCGATCGACTAAACAGAGGTTGAGAAAAATAAACGTAAAAATAACATATGAATTAATAAAAGTAGACATGAGAAAGCATACGGATTTGAAGGCGGAGATAGGAGCAGATGCGATGTCTCGTCGACGAAGAGATCTGAGCAACGCGGCGGTCGCCATGGATCTATGAAGTCTCCGGGTGATCCTTGTTAGGGTTTAGGGTTTTTGGAGAGAGAGAAAAAGAGAAAGAGAGTATAAATTGTCGACCGAAGATGGGTGGGCTGCGTGGAGGTGGGGTTACCAGTTATGTTTCTTTTGTGTTAGGTTTCGTTGAAGCTTCTAGATGCTCCTCGACTTCTACCTTTCTATCCAAGATATTGAATCAAATAATCAATAATCAAATATTGAATAATACAAAAATATAAAATAAAGATACACACACAAACTTTTTATTTTTTTCTTTATCAAGGAACATGATACCAGTTGTTAAAAACAAAATCTATAAATTCTTATGTACTATTTTTGATTTCAATAGTTGTGAATTGTGATCAATTTATCAAGGTTGTCAAGATCGGGATCCTACCTAGGATCGTTTTTGGGTTTGCAAAATCGGAATCGTAAGATCGGGATCGAGATCCTAAGATCCTACAAAATAGAATATAATTCTAATTTATAATATTAATCATAAAAAATATTTCAAACATTTAATTTTTCGTTCAAAAGTTATAAAAACTTTAAAATATTAGTCATAAGTCACAATAAAAATAATAAATGGTAGATTGGTAAAGGGTAAAAGACATAAAATGGTAAAAAAAATTCATTTGAAAATTTTTTTTTTAAGAAAGGTAGGATCGGATCGGATCTCGATCCTACGATCCTACCTACGATTTTACGATCCTACCTGCGATCCTACCCAAAATACGATCTTTTTACGATCCGGATCGTTTTTCATATATAGGATCGTAGGATCGTACGATCCTACGATCAGGATCGCGATTTTGACAACCATGCAATTTATAGTTTTTTATTTTAGATAGGATATTGTCATAAAAAAATGTAGTATGAGACTTTTTTTTTCTCAAATGAAATATTTATATCATGTATACAACAATTGTACATTTTGATGATTAAGAATAAAAGTTAACATTAATAATCTCTTTAACTATTTATGTTGGTGAGAAACTTGATTTTGTCTTAAAGAATAAGTAGGCTAATTTATTTAAATGACTTTAAACTAACAAAGCGAATTCCCCATTATAATTCATGAAAGCAAACACAGCCTGTATTCTAATCTTTTGGTTTGAGACCAACCTTTAAAATTCGGTTGATTTCAATTGTATTCCATGTTCAAAAAGTGTCATTGGATATGACATTTTTGTAGCCGTTCGATTACATAAATCAAAAAGTGTGATTGGAGATGACATTTTTGAAATAAATTGGAAGATTTCTAGCAAACTTTATGGAAAACACAAGAGACAAGCCTTAGCCATGAGTAATTACGATCCGAACATGGCTGCATGAGGGTTTATTAATTGCAAATTTGCAATGCATGTTATTTATGTTACTTGGGCTCATATAATGCTCAGTACAATACAACATGATGGTGAGTTTTGACTTTGATTCAACACGTAGGAACGGGCCTGGAAATTTATTTAAATATGAGCGACCCATGTTTATAGTGGGCTATTTTTAGAAGAGTCGAACAATTTTCATTTGAATTTTTAATAATATAACAATTGACTATTCTATAATATGTAGTAATAGACTTATCCAAAATGATTTAGGCAAAGCAATTATTAACTTTATTCAACCCAACAATAAAAATAAAAATAAAAATAAACTCTTACAAAACCTTGGGGTTTGCATTTTCATGCACACAAAAAGACTTTTATGTGTTTAAATGACTATCCAATTGAACCATGGACACTTCTTATCTCTTATGCTTCAACATGCATTTAAAATTCTTGTGTGGACGAGGTGACTTGTCTATAACACTCGACATGGAGATGGATTATCCATCTCCATTTTATGTTGTAACATTCAGTTTCAGAATGTTTCTAATATCTAGATAGCAGATTATAATTTAATTGAGTAAAGATTTTGGTCTTTAAATGTATAAGGTTTAAATCTTATTGAATGTTGATAATGTTGGTTAGGTAATTTAACCCTTTGAGTTGTGTTTTGGAGTCAAGGGGATAGAATGGGAAAAAAAAATGATATTTTGAGCTCTTTGCATGCATTAATGAATTAAGTTCGGTATTCGTTAAGTAAAAAATAATTGGATATAATTGTGTGTCTTGTTATATCTTTGTATGTATATATAAAGATCACTGAAAACGAATTTAAAATGAAGAAATTATGATTATTTGAATTTGCACTAAAATTTATGAAACTCGTCACCACGACGTGGTGAATAGAGATGACAATAGGGGCGGATATTAGCGTGGACTGTATTCCCCGTCCCCATACCCAAACTTTGATCACTTCACCCGCCCCCGCCCCGCTTAATCCTCGATGGGTTCGGAAAAAAAAATTCTCGCCGGATATGGGGAACCTGATAGATATGATGGATACTCGGTTACTAAATAAAACACACACAAAAAAAATAATAATAAAAAAATAAAAAAAATATGTATATCTTTTAATTAGGGCTGTCAAATCGGGCAGTCGTGTCGTGTTTTTGTCTGACACGACACGACACGACAATGTTTTGTATAACACGAACACGACACGACACAATGTCGTGTTTTTTTCTTTAACACGAAAACGAACCAATTAAAACACGACAACACGCCACGACACAATAAAGATAATATTACATAACTATTAGTGTTTTTCATTCATACTTAAATATATATAACACGACAAAAACGACAAACACGAAAAACCCGACAACCACATGCTTAATCGTGTCAATTTCGTATCGATTTAGGAACACGAACACGACACGACACGACATCGTGTTTTTTAATCTTGACACGAACACGACACGAACACGAATTCGAATTTTTATTTCGTTCCGATTTCATTTCGTTTCGTGTATTTTTATCGTGTCGTGTCATAAATTGACACCCCTACTTTTAATTTTAATGAGTTTTTATCGAAAAAATCTAATGAAAGTTTCAAAAATATCATAAATTATCTTTTTTGAATAACAACACCCACAAAATGGTACTGTATAACTTTTTCAAGATGTCACTTGTCCATGTGCCTGACATAGCAGCTGTCATGGTATGTCGCATTAGCTTCTGCCAAAAAATAGGATTTTTTTTATAAAAAATGTAGGCAAAATGATTCGAACAATCACCGCCATGGAACCAAATGGAAGTACCAACAAATTGAAGCGAACGATTTATTTTGCTTTTAACTCCTCCATTCTTTTATATATCTAATAAACACCGAAGCTGTTTTCAAAACCCAAATTGTTGAAAGGGAGATTCGAACCTGCGCGTAAAACACCCATAACTAGAAAACCTTCTCTTTTTATTTTTTTTATATAACTCTTATATTCAAGGTTCTAAAAAGCTCGTCATGGCTCCGACGCGCCACGACTCCAAGGTTTGCAATTGCCGCCAAGCTTTGTCAAAATGTCACTTTACCTCATATATGTGTATAAAAATGAATAATAGTTGAAAATACATATAAAAATATTAATTATATACAAAATTGTCGCCTTAAATCATGTCTTACAAATTACAAATGTCATGACTCACCAAGGCTCGGAAAAACTTGAGACTTGATATTGTCGCCAAGTTAAGCCTTACGTTATTTAGAACCTTGTTTATATTTGATGTTTTAATATTATTATTTGACAAAATTGCAAAAATGGTCCATGTGGTATTTTTTTTTTTTTTTTTGAGTTTTAGTCCAAACCACGACTTTTTTGGATTGGTGGTCATTTTGACCTAGTTTTGTGCATTTTTTGTCCCACTGAATAGTGAAATGACTGTAATACCCTTGGGGTATTTATTTTTCATTTTTCTTTATTTCTTTTTAAATCTAATACTATTTTACTTATTTTAATAATTAAAGAATAAAAAGGGACTCTTTCTCTCTCTCTCTCTCTCTCTCTCTCTCTCTCTCTCTCTCTCTCTCTCTCTCTCTCCCTCCCTTCCTTTCTCTGTTTGAGTGTGTATTCTATTGTATGAAAAATATTTCCCCATTTATTCATTTTCTTGATTCCAATCATCCACCAACACCGATGGCATGGCTACCCAAGCTTCCCTCTTTACACTCGTAATCCCCAATCAAATCTCCCCATGGAAACAATCGCAACCCATCTCCTTCAACAATGTCAAACCATCCAAACCCACCACTCGTTTCACCACCATTAAGGTTGCGCGATAGGGGAGGTCCCCACCAAAGAAGCTACGATGGGATTCATCCCACCTGAACTCGGCCCCAACACCTCATCTCCAATCTTCGTCGGAATACCCAACCGAAGCAGCTCCAACCGCCACTCCTTGCTGTCATGGTAAAAACCCACCACCATCGTGTTTATTTTATCGAGTAGGATCCCTAAACATCCTCGTCCCTTACTCATTCATCCCCTCGTATCTCACGTGTTGATTTCTTCCCCTTTATCGGCCACCAGAGCAGCTCCCTATAACATCCTCTCTCGATTTCTTCCCTTTTATCGGCACACCCCTTTCTCATCAAACTAGCATAAGCTTTAAGGATTTCAAAATATGAGGCGGTTCATAACATCTTATTCACAGTTTGTTTCAATACTTTTGGGGGGATCAAGATTTTGTTTCCCAATATATTGAAATGGCTCGGCCGTTCCGAAACTAATTTACATACACAGTTGGCGAAGGAGATCATATGTGTGATCAAAACTCGCAGCGGGGGAAAGGTGACGATGGAGGCAATGGAGCAGATTCCCTTGATGAAATATGTGCTCTACGAGTCCCTTCGAATCGAACCACCTGTGGCCTTACAATTGAATCACACAACGTCATTTTCAAAGTGAAAGAAGGGAATGTGTTGTTCGAATACCAGCCATTTGCGACCAAGGAGCCCAAAGTGTTTGATGATGACATATGCGGAAGAATTTGTTCCGAATTTGATGGAAGATCATATGCGGAAGAATTTGTTCCGAATCGGTTTGTGGGTGACAGCAATAAGCTTTTGAAGTATGTGACATGGTTTGGGTTTTTGGAAGAGGGGAGAGAGAGAGAGAGAGAAAGAGAGATGTGGGCCCCAAATTAGTTAATTATTTATTTTTCATTTAAATTAAATAGAAAAGACATATATATATATATATATATATATATATATATATATATATATATATATATATATATATATCTGAAGGGCATATGTAACATACAAAAAATTTTAAGCCAAATTTAAACTTTTTCAATCATGAAACCAAATAGTGTTTTACAAAATGTTTTCAAAATATTATTCATCAGAGTGTCCTAGAAATATAGTCATATGGATGAGGAGCGGTGCGGTCAAGCCTTCACCTTGCCATGATCTCCGGAAGTACCTGAAACAATAAATTAAAGCTGTAAGCCCGAAGGCTTAATGAGCTACCCCCAAAATACCAATACCACACCGATAATACCATATCAATAACAGATAATCAACAACACCCATAATCGGCCTTCGGTCTGACTGGACTACCCTGTAGGGCCTACAGTTTATCTTGATCTATCCCGAGCCTTCGGTATGACTGGACCGCCATACGGGCCTACAGTCTATCCGGACCGCTCATAGGGTATGTTGGCCTTCAACACAAAGCAGGACTGCCTCACCCAACATCATGCAAATAACCATGTGCGCATAACTAAAATATATTGGCATAACAAATATTAGATATAACTACATCACAGATCATCGATCATAGCAATCTCTCATAACCAGAGCACCGATCTAACTAGGTCACTAACATACCAATCCTAACGGATCATAAGAGCATAACAATATACTGTCTATCCTGATACGGATCTAACTGATCATATCCACATGTAGCGTATTATAACCAAGATAACAACTAAAAGGGTCTGCCTTTGTGCCTTAGACCCTATTGATACAGTGAGGATAACTCACCTTGCTAGTAGCTTGGAAATGATACTGCTCACACCTCCATATATAGCTCCAACCACCTCGCCTGTACCCATAAGTGGTCCACTCAATAATTACTCAAAATACCAAAATGCTCTTGGGAGGTACATGACATCCTACAGTCAAGTCAAGTCAAGTCACTGGTCAATGGTCAATAGTCCATGTTGACCTATTTGATAACACTCTCTGCCTCGAGTCCCTCCTGATTCCAGAATTTCTCAACTCGACTCGCCGAGTCTCCAGTAGACTCACCGAGTCGATACACGACCTAGTGCATGGAATCCAAACTGACTCGTCGGGTCATCTCCTAGACCTCGTCGAGTCCATGCGGGACTAATTTGGTCAAAACCCTACCCGACTCGTCGAGTTATCTCCCAGACTCGCCGAGTCCATACGTATACTCTCATGATCACGTGATTCTGAACTACCCCTTTGCTCCAATCAGTAGATCTAGGTCCCTAGAGCGCATTAGCAACATAAAGTTGCTACCTTTACGTATTTGAATGACTCAAATTCCACATCTAAGCTTAAAATGGGACTTTACTCATAAACAAGGGTTCCTTCGTGACCCTATTAAGAACTTTATGAACTAAGGGCTCAAAAGAAGTTCAGATTTGAAGTTTCAACTTCAGATCTAGCTCCCATACCATAATCCCCTTCATGAATAGTTAAAGAAAGCCCTAAACTTCACATATGAAAGATTCTAGAAGAAAAGAGATCAAGCTTACAACTTGTTACCTCCAAAACGTGCCCAAACTGAAGTAGACACTAGATCCACATGAAATCCTTGATGCTAGCCTCTTGATCTACAAGTTTCCTTCACAAAAATCACTTTTTAAAGCTCCAAAACACTCTCTAAGCTCACACTCACGGAAATTAGGGTTTTTGGCTCTCAAGGGGTGATAGAGGATAGTGGGAGGCGCTAATGGTCCAATATATAGGGTGCAAAAACCCTGAAATTTAGGGTTTCTTCTGCTAGCTCCGACTCGTCGAGTCACTCATCAAATGATGTGTCCTGACCAGCTACTACTCGACGAGTCACAGCGTCAACTCATCGAGTAGGCCTCAAAACATGAAATCTAATGGAATAATAATGATACCTGACGGTTGGGATGTTACAACATAATAGTCTTTTCAGTTTACTGAGGGACTAAAAACGCAACGAAACTAGGTCAAAAGGATCATCAATCCAAAAAAGTCGTGGTTTGGTCTAAAACTCCTAAAAAATATATACCACAGGGACCATTTTTGCAATATTGTATTATTATTATTATTATTATTATTATTATTATTATTATTATTATTATACGTGTTATAAGCGAAAGTCAAAACTAATTTTTTAAATTTGTTTTCATGATAATTATTAAATAAATAAATATATAAATACATTTTAAATATGTATTTATACATAAATCATAAAAATATAATAAATACATCTAAAAAATATAAATACTTTTTATATATGTATTTATTACATGTATATGGTTTTTTTACATACTTAATATATATATATATATATATATATATATATATATATATATATATATCATAAAAGCGAATTTGAAAATTTATTCATTGACTTTCGATGATGATGATAATAATAATAATAACTAGATAGGTATCCCCCGCTACGCGGGGATCAGAAGCTTTCGATGTCGTTTACGATATATTGGATAACCTTATATTTTTAGCGGCTTATTTGTTTATTTATTTTTATTGGATTGTAACATTAAAAAAAGATGCAACATAGTTTCTATCCGTATGTGTCGTCCGGAATAACCTAGTGCATCCTCTGATTCGTTTTGATCAGTTTTTTAGTGACATTGTGAAAGTCAGCTCAACACCAAGAGACTCCCCCGGCCCTTCTTTTAATATTGAATCCATTTCATTTCTGGGCCACAAAATCTGTTCACTTGATTTTTTTAACCTTTCAGGTTTCCTGTTCTATGTACTGCAACAGCATATCAAGTTGCCAAACAGTTATACTCCAGTTTTGTAGTCTGTTGTTGTTGTCGTAGACCACAAACAAAACTTCAATGATTACTTGTAGAAAAGAAGACCATAATCAATCACCTTTTCCTTGAACGATTTCCAAAGTTTTTATGATGACCAGCCAAGTAATATGTATTAGCAAGATATGTCCACCTTCCCACTTTACCCCTACCTCCTCTTTTGTCTAACAACAGCAATACATGTCAACCTTAGAGGACAAATATTTTTATCTTTTTTTACTAATAATAGAAATAGGTAAGAAACTTAGGATTTAAGTTTCTATCTTTAATACCAACTTATTTGCATTTCTTTATACTTAATAACAACATACTTACAATTTGTTACTCAACCATACTTATCAACTGATCGCCCAAATTTCCCATAATACCCCTTTCCTTTAATGCAAACATCATCAACATTGCCTTCCAGTTTTACTGGATCTTTGTCATTTTTCATGACACCAACTTGGCGCATGGCCTCTTTTCGCGTTGTCCCACCACCTAATTAACACATCTACAAAAATAACCAAACTAAAAAAAACATTATAAAATAGGATAATTGTAGGTAGAATAGTTTAGTAATTCAAAAAAAAAAAAAAGTTTGCAAAAAAAATCCTAAAAATTAAATTCATAAAAGCTGTAAGTTCAAAACAGTTGTAGAATTTAGTATCATGTGAACAACTTTAACTTTGGTTTACCAGAAACATTGCTTTGAGCATAAAGATATGCAAAAAGTCAAACTAATGAACTCAAGAGAATTTTCAGTCAACCACACTGATTGAATTGAAACAAATACCATATGATGATCTCCTTGATCCGACGTTCTTTCTGATGTTTCCAAGAACATTGACACAAGTTGATCTTCTCATACACCAAATTCCCCATTTGATGAATTTGACTTCTTAATCTCCTGGTAAATAGTTTGAATCAAGAGTCAAAATCTTTAACAAAGTAGAGAAAAATCAACATGGTTTGTAGAATGAGATGAATTCAATTATACCTCAGGGAAACACTGTTTCTTGTTCGCAATATTTCCACGAGGTTTCCTTATTTTTAAAGGAAAAAAATCAAATTAAATTGTTAGTCCAAAATGTAAAAAGATAATAAAAACCAAACATTGTTCAAAATTAAAATCCAGTTTTGACTTGAGGAGTCTGATTGAATGATTTATCACATCAAATTTCTTCGATAATCATTTTAATAAATACACTCTAACTTTTAATAATATTATTATTGAAAAACGTTTTAGGCCAGAAATTAAAAAGATCAAAGTAAACTTGGGCGAGAGAGGCGGTGACGAACACAACATGAACACGTTGCAGAGATTAAAGCCAAAACCAGTTCAACAATTTATGTGTCTATAATCTTAAACCCAATAAAATCAAAAAAATATTTATTTATTTTTTAAGAAAAATAGTTGTAGGTACTTAGATCTTAAGATGCAGTACAATCCTTCTTTTTGGATGATGTGCCTGTTACAACAAAAAAAAAAGCATACAAGTCTATGATTTGGCAAATTCAACACGTTTTATAAAAAAAAAAAAAAACAAATGTTGAAGCAATAACTATAAAAGATGTATAGATGATTCACCTTTTGATTAAATTCTTCCTCCTCCATCATCCCACCCATTTCTATCGCGATAGAGTTAGTGGGAGAATCACTACAATATTCCATTCAAATAAACAAAATGAATTTGAGAATAAAAAAACATGTTTAATACATATTGTTTAATAGTTACAACATAAGGACCGAAAAGTAATGAAGCTCAGTAGAAAATATACAACAAAAAAAATGACATTGTGCTATACAAAATAGCTAAAAGTTGTAACGACCAAAATTTTCAACAAATTTTAAACTTTTCAAAACATCCCAATTTCTTTAAGTTTTTACAAAAAGGTTTTCAATACATTTATTATCATAGTATTCCCAGAACCACAACATAAATCATAAACACGAGGAGCGGTACGATCACGCCTTTGCCTTGCCACGATCTCCTGAAGAACCTGAAAAACATTAAACCACAACTGTAAGCCCGAAAGCTTAGTGAGATACCCCCAAAATACCAAACACATATACCATACACACATAACATGCTATATCATAACAAATCACAGAACAACCATGCATATAGGGTCTACTGTGTGACTGGTCCGTCGTGATTGGCCTTCAGTCCACCTGGTCTACCCTTTGAGTCTAGTCATGTCCCTTGAGTCTACAGTGTGGTTGGTCCGCCCGCATCGGGCCTTCAACCCACCTGGTCCACTCTCTGAGTCTACAGTATGATTGGTCCGCCCGTATCGGGCCTTCAGTCGGCCTGGTCCACTCTCCGAGCCTCGACATATCTGATCCGCCCTCGTGGGGCCTACAGCCTATCCAGACCGCTCGCTGGGCCTTCGTAATAACCGGTCCACCCTGGGTATGTTGGCATACAGCACAAAGCAGGTCTCACCTCAACCCAACCCCAGTCAACAACCATGTGCACATAAACATACAATCATATAACCATTCACATTCAATCAAACCGATCTAGCAGATCACGTAACATGACATACTCTAAGTAGGATACCGACCTAACCGATCACTAGCATAACATCACCCTATATACCAGGATACCGACCTTAACCAGGTCTCTAACATATACCATCCTAACTACCAGGATGCAAACATAGTAAAACAGCAACATAACAATAATACCCGGATTACAATCTGATAAAGGGTCGGCCTTGGTGCCTTAGACTCTGTTGATATAGTGAGGATAACTCACCTTGCAACTGCTGACTGAAAAGATAAGATCACGCTGCTCCGACCTCCGACACGAACTCCACCCCTGATAAAGCCGAAAGACTAAACCCAATAAATACCATAAAATACCAAAATGCCCTTAGAGGTCAACTGGTCAACTCTTGATCAAAGTCAAAGTCAAAGTCAACCTCCTGGCTGACTCTACTCGGTGAGTCAGCCCGCTGACTCGCCGAGTCCCCCAATATTGAAAAGTCCCATCTCAACTCACTGAGTCATTCCTTAACTCACCGATTCTTAGCTTAACCAGGAAAGGCTAAGACCTCAAGACCAGACTCGTCGAGTCCAAAGCTATCTTCAACCAACTCGCCGAGTTGTTCTTCCAACTCGTCGAGTTCCTGCCCACCTTCAAGCAACTCGCTGAGTACACCCTTGTGATTCGCCGAGTACCACTAGCTCTTAACCCATACAGAAGCCTTCCAGGCCATGCAGTCAATCCAAAACGTAGATCTACCCTTCTATAACCCATCCATCACGTAAAGTGGCAAACTTTACGTGAATCCAAAGAGATCTAGGCATTTTACACTCTAGGGCTAGGGTTTGGGACAAGATGGCTTCACCAAACACTCAATAATAGAGACTTTAATGCACTCTAGACCTTCTTCATACCAGATCTGAGGTAGCAACCTCAGATCTAACCTTCAAACTCAAAATACCACAAGCTAAACTTTCCACACATTCCAAAATGATGAATCTAGATGAATAACAGCCCAAGAAACGAAGTAATACCTCAAAGGAAGCCCCAACAGGAGAGAAATCTGATTCTTAGCAAAGCCCCTTGCTCCAAACCTCCTATCTCTCCAAGATCTCCTCCAAAATCTCTTCTCTAAGGTTCAAATGCCCTCAAATCACTCACAAACACACCTTAGGGTTTTCTGGACTTCAAGAGAGGGTAAAGAGGCTGGGGAGAGGGTATAGTGTCCTTTATATAGGGCTCATCCCCTGAAATTAGGGTTTTCTTCACTCAACGCCTACTCGCCGAGTCCAACCTCCGACTCGCCGAGTTGGCCACTTAACACGCGACCTGAGTCGCGACCCTACTCGCCGAGTCCACCCAAAGACTCGCCGAGTTTCCCTTTCATATTTCCACTTTGAACCCTGAACTTGCATTCCTGAACTCGGGATGTTACAAAAGTCAAGACTATCATTGTTCTAACATATTTAACATTCCTAAAAAGTCAAAATTAGAAATCATTGACCTACTTCTAGTATATTTTCATTATTTAAAATGTTCTACTCTAAAATAAATGGTAAAATTAATAGTTTTCTCATTTATGTTTTGGTTTTGCTTTTGAAAACAATATCAAACACAAATGACAGTAAAAAGTGTTGATAAAACAATATATATATTCCTAGATGACCGATGAATCCCAATATAATTGCAAAAGAAAATCAAGTGTTTTTTTCAATTTGGAAAAAACACTTTTTACTGTAAATTTGCAAAATGCACCAAAGAAAATGGAAATTGTTGTTTCTGGGTAAAGAAATAAAAAGAAACCGGGAAAAACAGAAAAAGTGTAAAGTAAAAGTGCATTGCTATTTAAGGCATTTACCAGCTAAATGTGAAAAAATACAACCAATACAATGTGTGTTGGTTTTTGGTAAAAAAAAATTTAAATAAATTGAAAAATAATTACAAAAAAAAAAGATGTAAGGTCAAATGACATTGCCATTTAGTATAAATACAACCTAAATATGAAAAAATGCAACAAATAGCAATGTGATTTGTTTTTTGGAAAACAAATGAAATAAATTGGTGAAAACAAAAACCAAAAGGTGTAAACTCAAAGTACGTTGCTATTTAGTGTTTCTTTTTTAGTAAAAAAATGAAAACAAATTATAAAAAGAAAAAGAAAAAACTATGAACTCAAAGTATAATGCTATTTATTGCATTAATAACTAAAATGGAAGATGCACGAAACGACAATCTATTTTGGTTTTTTGGTAAAGATATTAAAAGAAATTGCAAAAAAATAGAAAAAAACATATAAATTCAAAGTAGGTTGCTATTTATGGCATTTCACTCGTAAAAATGGCAAATGCATTTAATAGCAATATAGTTTGTTTTTTGGGAAAAAATCAAAAAAATTACATAAAAACAGGAAAATGTGTAAATTCAAATCTCGTTGCTAGTTATTGCATTTACCACCTAAAGATGGAAAAGCAGAAAATGACAATGTACATAGTTTTTTGGTAAATGAATCAAAACAAAATGCAAAGTATATTGCTATTTAGTGAATTTACCATTT